TGAGAGGGTGCCACTCCTGTTTCTGGATCCATACTTGCCATTAGATTCGCAAAGCAAGCCTGGTCTCTGCTGCTGGTAGTTAGGGTTGCCAACCCTCCTGGATTGGCCAGGAGTCTACCAGAATCAGCATCTATCTCCCAGTGACTATTGAAAGCAATTTGGGAGATTGAACAGGTGGAACAGTGCAATTAATTATTAGAGGTGCACCGGTACATTGGTCCCATATTGGATTGGCACTGATATAAGGAAAATTTGACAGAATTGGCTTTGTTTGGCTGATGTGGCTGATAATGTTGCCGATAAATGCCCCATGCATGCGCGCAGCCCCAGTGCAGCATGCAGGCGGCCAGGATCGTGGCCCAGCAGCATGGAATGCAGCTAGGTCCAGCTGGTAAGTCTGCTGTGAAGGAAGAGGTGTGTGTGGGGGGGCAGATTGAAGCCCCCATGGTAAAGGAGGGAGTAGGGCTGGGGCTGAGGCTGGGGAAGTGGCAGGCTCTGCACAGGCAAGGCGGGGCATGGGATGGAGCTGTGAGCAGCTCATCCAGGGGGCACGGGGTGGGGGCAGCTCCTGTCTGGGAGGGCATGGGGGGGTGTGCCCCTGGATCTGTGCATGAGGAGAGGGCAAGCTGCACCGGGCTTTTCCTAGCAAGGGGCTGGGCTGGCCTGCACTCAGGGCAGGTGGCAGCGGCACTGGGAAGGGGACTATGGTGAATTTTGGGGTGGCTGCAGTGCCCCCTGCCACCCATAGCTCCCCTCCTAATGCCACTGCTGCCTGCCCTGAGCGCAGCCTGGCCCAGCCCCAGTCCATAGCAGCAGCTCACCCTTGCCCCACACAGATTTGGAGGCATATGCCCCCCATGCCCTCCCGGAATGTGTGCAGCAGTAGAAGTCACCCCCTGCACCCTGGATGAGCCACTCATGGCTCCATCCTGTGCTCGGTCCCAGTTAAGCAGCATCTGCCCCTGGCCCTGCCCCAGCCCCACTGCCTCCCTCACTGCAGGGCCTCGATTTGCCCCCTGCCATGCTCCTTCCCTCCCCCCTTGTCCCTTCCCCCACAGTAGACTTTCCAGCTGGATGGTGCTCTCCAATCTGCCTGGCTGCATATTGGCAATCAGATCAGTTTCAGCCAATATAGCATTGGCCCAAAAAATCTCTATTGCGGCACCCATATTAATGACATTACATCATGCTGGAAAAAAAAATATCTCCTGGAATAGCTTCAGTCACAGTTGGCAACCCTACTGACGGTCTTGACCTGGCTCTGGTACAGTGCCGAGGCTGGGACTATGCTGAGTGCCAGTCCCCGCATCAGAGACTGAAAGTCATATTACTACCATGCAGCAGTCTGACTGTTGTATGAAGGAGGCAGACACATGCAGCCATAGCGAGGGTTGTAATATGGCTTCCCTTCAGGGACTGTCCAACCTTTATTATAGTTCCTCTAGTACAGCATGACTAATGGGTGTGGAGGACCAGGAATGTGATTGCTCCGCACCGATGATAGCTGAACATGTGCTATTTAATTTGATCTGGAGATACTCTTCCCTCAAAGTCACAACTTTATTACAATAGTATCAAACTTAACATGTGTTTTACTGTTTGAATGCACAGATGCTTGCATTTTAAATTTAATAAACACATCCTAAGCATACCATGAGACATAGCACAGAGACCCATGTTTAAATCCTATCCGTGGGGAGAGGAGTTAGAACCCAGCTTCCTAGGTGAACAAACTACCCACACAGTTACTGGAGGAAAAGATAGCATGTGTCTGATTTGGTTGCCAGTCTATGTGACTACATGGTTGCATTGTCATCCATATGTGTAGGACTACATGTCCAGAGGATAGAAATCCTCTGTATGCCTAAGTGCCAGAAATTGCCACTTCAGTAAGCAGGAAATAATAGAATTTCACCCTAAATGTTTTCATAATGGAAGGATGACCACAGTAGCACTTCTTACAGGGCAAATCATATAAGCTGCTATTTATCGTGTTTCAAGGCACTAGCTCACCATAGTTTGGGAGGCCAGGGTGTCCTCCCCACCCACTTTGTATAACTTTGTATAACAAGGTATATTCACAAAATTTTGAAGACTTCTTCTGAAGCAAAGTCTTGGCCACTATTGGAAATATGGGACCAAATGTTCTTTAATAACAGTTCCGACATGTTCATTTGTGTGTTCCTGCATTTTCATGTATTTCTTTTTTTCTTAAATTATTACTTATTATTAAATTATATGAAAAATTATCATTTGTTTTTGGGACTTAAAGAGTTGGAGGGAACATGACAATGAAAACCAAGGGCAAATTTTTCCCTTTCTCCTGCCTGTTGTCTCCCTTTCTCATTTAAATTCTGAGCTGTCCTAAGAGGGATAGGTTCTTCTTTTTTGGCATGCGTGCCTCTCAGGGTGGGTTCTTAATTAAAACAATCCAAAGCTACTATCAGACCAATTCTTGAACAGGAAAAAGAAATACAACCTCAAGGAACCTCTTTTCCAACCATTGGTGCTTTGGTATTAATCCAATGTTTTTCTTTCACACCCTTCCCAGATTGACCATCCTGAGTTTGAGATGCCAGCAGAGAGTGACTACAAAAAAAAATCTGATTACCCCAAGGTAACCTATCAGAAGCTGGGGCAAGGCAAAAATTAAAAACAAAAGCAAAAAAGGCCCACAAGTTTCAAAGAACTCCTTTGAAATGTCCCTTGCTTTATGGAGGCAATTTTTTATAGATGACTTTTATAGATCACTTAGGCTTATGTCTGATGCTTTCTTGAACATTTCTTCAGAAGACATATGTTATGGGTTTCCCTGTTAGGAAAAAAATAGGTATGTAGCCTATTTTTACCTAATAGCTTTGAAAATCCTGGTCCAGTAATATCATGCTGTGGTTTTAAACATGTGGTAAGGGTGAACACTGGGCTCTCCATTGATTCTATCTTACAGTCATAGAGTCATTCAAAAGTAGGGCTGGAAGGGACCTTGAGAGGTCATCTAGTCCAACCCCCTGCCTGAGGCAAGATCATCCCTATTTTGATCAAAAGCATTGTAATAAAACTCACCCCATCTACATTAAGTCTTTACAATGTGTTACTTATAACATACTTGTTAACATGTTTTAAAAAATGTGTTTTATTCTATATATGTAAAAGACCTTGGACTTTTGCAGCAAACCTAGGGAACCTAATTCCATAATTATGTAATTTTGTGATAATCTAATTTCATGACTATCCCAGCCCCTTTGCCTTTCTTAACTGCATAATCACATACAGCTGCAGTTTACAGTGCAAGTCTTTCAGATCAGAGCTTAAAAAAAAAAGTTCTGCCTCCTTACCATGGACATTTAAGATCCTTGTAACAGGAGTCTGCCCTGCCATTTCCATCTAAAATGTCACATGTATTCCCTGAAGCCTACTCCCACCCTAGACCTGGTTGCATTTCAGTGGGCACATCTACATGAGGCATTTTCTGTGAAGTTGACTCATTAACTCTTCATTAAAGCCTACCATCTACATGTGTAGTGCTATTAGGATAGAGTAAACTAATTAACTCCACTGTAGGATAGTACTGCCAGACACAAGTGCAATAATGACAGTTATTTACTCTGCTGCAACACAAATGTAGATGCTGATGGGGTTGGTTGGTGCATGAGGGTGCTTCTGTGTGGCAGCTGCCTGCTGGATAGCCCTTAACTGGAGCACCCTCATGTCCCAGCCAGCCCCTATGCATCACATTGAGTCAGCTCAAGGTGCTACAGTTCTGGGTGCATGTGAAAATGCGGCACCTGGGAACAATAAGCTCTGGCACAAACTGTGCCAGAATTTATTCATTCACATTCATTGCATGTGTAGATGTACCCAGTAATGACTTTTCCCTGTATTAAAGACATGCAAAGTATGAAGAAAATAGAAGACCTTATTTCCCATGGAGGATTCAGTAATGCTCACTGAGCCAGAAACTATATTCAGCAAATCATGTTTCTTGTAAAGAGTTACAGAAGAAAACAGGGTTGGCAGGGACAGCATTGAAAGTGCAAGGCTTGGGTGGAACAGCTCCAACCTCAGCCTTGTAGCTCTCCTGGGGATGTGCTTTGTGTCACAGGATGTCCGTCTGTATCTGTCGTATCTGCTGAATCTGGGGACACTGCTGGGAGTGCCCCAGGACATTACCGCCACCTACATCTCCTTCACCTTGGCCTTCATCTCCAACCTCCAGAGTGTGGTCACCCCACTGCAGAAGCGACAGGAGAGGAGGATGCTGTTCTATAAAACCACCATTGAGGAGTTGCAGGTAGGCATGCCCTGCAGCGTGAGGAGGGCTGCACATATATTTTCCACTTCTCCAAGACTCAGGTGGGAGGGGAGGGGAGGTGCCTTTTGCAGGGGCCAGCCAGAAATTGCCATTCTCTTTCTCTCACTCCTGGAGTCTCCTTTCCCACTGAGTTGCCACAGCAATCTGCTGGGGCTGGTCATCCCTGGTCCCATGGTGATGCTCCCATCCTTACACTCAGCCCTGATATTTCCCTCCCTGTGTTATCCCTGCCTACCAAGCTCAGCCTGGGAGGGTGCCCTCTGCTGGCAACAAGGAAGCCAGTCCCATATGCTGCCATACAGTCCTGGGGGTGTGCAGGAAGTTGACCTGTCAGCCCATCCATTGTTTTGCCTTTAGGAAAAGGCTCCAGCCATTGACTGGCTGTCATGCCTAGAGGCAGCCTTCTATCCTGTGCAGCTGAGTCTCTCCCAGCCCATTGTGGTTCATGACATGGACTACTTGAAGAACATGTCACGGCTGATCATAGAGTGGCAGGACAGGAGGTAGGAGTTCATGCTCATTACCATCTCCATTAAGCCTCCAGACCGGGATGCTGTGATAGCTTCAGATGTGGTGAATGCAGCATGATTGACTTGACCAATATTCAGAAGGGGAACTACTAAAGAAAGGTTTGGAGGGTGATGCAGCAGGGACTTCCACAGGCAGTCATGAAGTAGTAGGCAGACATATAGAGCCAGATCTTGTCCTACTTTCTAGGCACATAAGTAGACTGAGGCACCTAAGGCTGTAAACAGATGCCATAATTGTCCTGGGAGAAAGCTTTTTGTCCTGGGATTGTACAGATGTACATATTCAATGTCCCTCTGAAGTGTGCTAGATAAAATTCACTAGCACTTTTTTCCGTTGTACATCCTCACAGGACTCCTGTTTTGATCTGGGACACGCCTTGCAACAATAACTCCTGGATCAAATGAGGTGTCTTTTTGTGCCCACAAGTGATTCTATTCTATCCTGGTTGGATCCCTGAAAAACTGTTAATGCAAAAGGTGGGAGGGTCCTCCACCTATTCCTCACTGCCTTTTGTGCATAGGGGTAAGATCATGGTATGGTACAAGAGTTGCTTCATTAATGAACCTATGTGGAGTTGAGCAGGGTGGAATAGAATTGCACTTAGGAGCCCATGCCCACTTAGATGCCCAACAGACAGGGTAGAATCTGGCCCATTGTTGTCCAGTTCTAAACTGTGGGTGTTCAGAAGTATTGTTGTTTAAACAGTGACCCTAGCCCGACAAAGCTGCAGCTACATTTTAGTTCTGGGTAAATTGGTCCTTATCTATTAAGTGTACATATAAATGTCCTACTGTGCTATATGTTTTTTCTTTGCCTAGCACCCTGCAGATCTATATGATACTTCACATGGTGACGAATCTCTCTCCAGCCCTGGACAGCCGGTTCCAAGATGCACACCAGGAGCTGATGAAGAAGCTTCTTGGACCAAGAGAAGAGTTGGGGATGGTGAGTCAGCTTCCCGTCAGACTCCTTGGCAGCTGTCATGAACCATTCCCACTTTCTGCAACCTCTTAGGGTGGGGTTTCTCAGGTTGGACGTTGGGGCAAAGAGGAATGAAGAAGGAGAAGCTGGCCATGCCGGCAGCAACATTTCCAGTAGCTGTTCCCTTAGAATTGATACTGTGGATTGTGGCCATCCTGCACAGCCCCCTATCTACTCCATTCCCAGTATCCAATCCACTCCTTGAAGCTTCCACAAAAGCAGAGGCTGGGGTACAATGTACTGGTGGGCAGCTTCCCCCTTGCTCTTCTTAACCTGGATAACAAATCCCTTCCCTTACCAGCCCTTACTCCTGGGGCTATGATGTTGACATGACATTTTTCAAGGCACTCAGAGGCTTTTGCATTTAATAAAAATATAGACAAAAATTAAACCGAATGCTGGATTATTCATTGCCATCCCTACTACAAAACAACATGCATTCAACAAGTGCCTCTTCTGCCTGTGTGTTTCTTTGCCTTCCCTCTCCACATGTCTTTGCTGTTGTCCTTCCCTGTGTCTTTATCACTCTCTCCCTGCCTCTCAGGTACAAAAGAGTCGCTGGCAGAAATGCCTGAGTGAGACCAGCATCTTTTTTGAGCCTGTCCTTGGAGAGATGATGGTGCAAGAAATTTTTCCTCCAGAGGCCAAGGAACTCGTAGGTATTTTCTTCCCCCACCCCAAACATGAATGCAGCTTCCCTCGTACCCTGATGAGGTGACACTCTCAAGGTCAGGTCACCCCCTTATTCCCTCTCTTTAGTTACATACTTCCCATCCTTCTTTGAGGCTTGGACGGACTTAGTGCTAGAATAATCAGTCTAAGGATCTCGGTGTGTACAGCTTGGTACTCATGCATGACCCTCCAATGACAGCCCACAGGAAGAGCACTTATGACCATCTCTAGCATGGAAACCAGAATGGCAGTCCCTGTACCTGTCAGTCATCTTGGCCCAAGATGCTGACATGGAATGTTTTGAGGCACTCGGAGGCTTAGCAGTATAGGCTGAGCAGGACTCATGAGTAACAATAACAGACTTACGTGCCAGGGCTTTAGAGTGGTCCTACAACCAAAAACAAATCTGTAGGCAGAGGGGAAGAGAAATGCTTTTGTTAAGATATCAGATTTCTATTCCCAGGTAGGTTAGCATATGCAGTGAATGGATGAAGGCTTTCCAATATGTGAAAAATGGCATTAACAAGAGGAAGCAGAACAGGAAGAGACTGAGACCATTGAGGTGGGGAAGGAAAGACACAAAGTGTATGTGTTGTACGTGAAAGTATAGTTCTTGTCATTCTGGGAGCAGCCTTGAAGTAAGTCTGTTGGACTTTATCCAGGTTGGGGTTGAGTTTAGAGTCATCTTGAGGGAAGCAACCTCCTGTCTGCTATGTCTGGTATCCCATTGCCCTCTTATTCAAGCAGTAGAGATGTCTCCAGGTCCTGTCCTCTTCCATGATAGGAGAGCTGAAGTTCAGGAAGGAATGGACATACTGTTGGGTTCCCCTCTCACCTAAGGACAGGCAGTGAAGAAAGGAGATGTCCTGTGCATACCTGGGGCGCAGCAAGTGTATAGTATGAAGAGAAGAAGTACATGGTTAAATGGATTGGTAGAATTAATTATCTTCAAGCTTCAGAAGAAGTGTCCTCCCTAGGTCTGGGTTGTAGTGGGCCTGGGGCAATGGGGCAAGGTGGTTGCCCAGTACTGAATGACCACAAGCCCTAATCTCTCAAGCCAAGTGAGGCATTGCCTCCAGAGCACCTGTTTTCCATAGGCCTGATTGGGCTTTTTTCTCCCTTTGGAAGGCTGAAAAGATTTTCTCTGAGGTCCAAAATGCCCTCCAGAGCCGGCTGGATCAGGTGGGATGGATGGATGAGCAAACCCGACAAGAGGCCAAAAGCAAGGTGTGTGTGGAAGTCACAAACTAATGAGGCTTTCAATTCCCAATAGCCTCTGCAAAAGAGATAGGGGCCTGTATATACATATACTCTGATATATATGCATTGGTATATCTCCGTATATAGGTGCTCTTACACTTACATGCTTGACCTTCTAATTAGGCACACGAAGGCTGTCCATATACACATGACCACAGCCCTGGCATGTCTGGCTGTGTGAAATTTTGCCACCAGTTTTGTTTTGACCCGTTTCAAGGTCGAAACAGCAGAATTGAAATGGAACAGATATGATCGAAACAGCCTCAAGACAAAATTGGCAAGTTGAAACATTTTGCCATTTCGACGCCGTTTTGATGTTTTGCCCATAGGTTATAATGGGGAAGGTTAAAACAGCCTGTAACTGTCATGTCTGGCCAGATTTAGATGAAACTTTCAGGAATGGTAGCCCTTTCTACAGGCATGAAGTCTGCCACGTTTTAAGGAGATTGGTGCAGGGGTTTCTGGGAAACTGCACCTCAAATTCTTAAAAGCAAAACTCATGTCATGTGTATGTGTTAAACCACAGCAGGGTCAAAACTGCAGGCATGCTAGCCCCTGCTGAGGCCACAAAGCATGCCAAGTTTAAGAAGATAGGTGTAAGTGTTTGGGGGAAACTGCACCTCAAGCTGTGGACAAGCAAAACTCATGACATGGGTGACACTGTGTGTGTTAAGGCGCAGCAGGGTGAAAGCTGCAGGGATGGTAGCCTCCACTGAGGCGACAAAGCCTGCCAGCTGTCAAGAGATAGGTGCAGGGGTTCTGGGTTTTGGGGCCCTGCACCCCTAGCTGCTGACAGGCAAAACTCGTGTCATGGGTGCTTGTGCAACTGTGTCTGTCTTGGGGCACAGTATGAACATGAGCCAGCAGTGTAATGCATGCCAGGGTATTGTTGGCCCTGCTGGCTACAGCATCACACTGCCAGTTCATGTTCATACTGTGGTCAATTATTATCCCCAGCTTCTTGGTAACAAGTGATGGGGGATCTTCAGTCCTGCTGCCTGATGAAAGGCAGCAATTGCACAAGCACGCATGTCACGAGTTTTGCCTGTCAGCAGCTAGGGGTGCAAGGCCCCAGAACCCAGACTCCCCCTGCACCTATCTCCTTGATAGATGGCAAGCTTAGTGGCCGCAGCAGGGCTGAGCAGCCAGGCCTGCAGTGGTTCTCCCTTCCCACGCTTCCCCAAGACAGACACAGTTGCACAAGCACCCATGACACGAGTTTTGCCTGCCTGTGGCCAGAGGTGCAGGGCCCCAGAGCCCAGAAGTCATGCATCTATCTCCTTGACAGCTGGCAGGCTTTGTGGCCATAGCAGGGGCCACCATCTCTGCTGTGCCTTAAGATACACAGTGTCGCCCATGTCATGATTTTTGCTTCTCTGCAGCTTGAGGTGCTGTTTTCCCAACCCCCTGCACCTATCTCCTTGAAACTTGGCAGTCTTTGTGCCCTCAGCAGGAGCTACCACCGTGCAGTTTTTACCCTGCTTTGGCTTAACACATACATTTGACATGAGTTTTCCTTTCAGG